CAATGATCTTCACCCTCTTCAGCCTCCCTCTTGCCCAAGGCACATCCTGACCTGCAATATGCAGCACTCACTTCGCTAAGAATCATGGTCTTGAAGACAATCAACTAAAAGCGGCCACAGCTCCCTCCTATTTCAACAGCAACATGATTTCCCATACCAGACCTGCCACAATGGTTATGGTCACATGCTGTGTAGGGTTCGCTTTGCCTGGCATAATGCTGCTTCAGGTTCATTTTTAAGGCAAGGTTATCTCTCCGAGGTCAGACGAGATTCTTTATCGCATCTCCTTCCAGCCATTTTCCCTAATCAGTGAGCACAGCCCATCCTGCACCCACCATTCACCCAATATTGTTCGTTTCATTTATGTGACTGCTCTTCCCCCATATGTGTTTGGGAAGAGTGGTGGGCAAATTTCAAAGGAGCAAACTTTAGTCACATTTAGAATTAATTTTTCCATTTACGGAAATTTTTCCATTTCTTTTTTTTTTATAATTAATTTTTATTCAATTTCCAATATACATTCCATCCATGTTTAACATCCACTTCTAACATATACATCTTTTAGACTTCCCTCAGCCTATCTGACAATTTTCCATATTATCACAATTACTCACATTTATTAAATTTATATTGCGCTTTAACAATCTTAATCTTATCATATCTTTTAAGCAACATTTCTATCAATCATTTTCACAGAGCTTCTTGAAAGCCAACAAGCGTTAATTGCTCCTCACATACATTTTTGATATACTCTGTAAATTTATTCCAGTCCTCGGTGAATCTCTGATCGTGTTCGTTCCGAATTTCCCCTGTTAATTTGTCCATTTCTGCATATTCCATCAGTTTCATTCTCCATTCTTCCCTCGTTGGCATTTCTTCCTATTTCCATTTCTGGGCCATCAAAATTCTAGCTGCTGTCACTGCATACCTAGGAATTTTTTCCATTTCAGTTCTATTCTCTCCCCCCCCCATGCCTCCACCCTCTTTCTCTCACCCCCAAACTTAATTTGGTTAATAAAAGGAGGCATGCCAAAAGAATTAAATAGCACTGAAAAGTTTGCCAGAAACTCAGATGTTTATGTGTTTGTTATTCCATGCACAGAGAGCGTTGGCGCGATTCTCAGCTTAGTCGGATGCATATATTCAGTGCCAAAATGAATTTAGAGGCAGTGCTTAGAGTTGAGACTGAATGGCAGAAACTCGGAAGCTGCCTCCATTAAACGAAACCCTGCTGATGTAAGTGCATCACTGCCGCTACATTGTGAAAAGCACTCAGGCAGGTGTGCCGCAATGTGGGTGGGTGGGGGGAAAGAGGGAATGTGCCTTACAGTGATACAGCCATGCTCTATGAAATATTGAAAGGAAATGCCACTCATTTGAGGAATGTGTTGCCTTGTTTCAGTTTGCCTATCATGGAAGTACTTCACTGTCATTCCACCAGGAACAATTTGGAGCCCCAGGACATTCAGAGTACAGCCTTTTAGCCTCCTGACCTCCCAGATCCACTACAGAGTAGTCTTATGCTACCTGATTGCTTAATGGTAGGAAAGGTTGCACTGTTTCCATAGGTGATGTTCAATCGATGGGAAATTGCCCCAGGCACAGTGCTTAAGGTAATTCCTTTGGGCCAGGTGGTTCTCTATGGAGATTATTTGCAAAGGGTTGTGCTGTTGCTGTTTTTACAGCCTCTTCTTGGAAAACATGCTTAATGTACGGGGTCACCTGTTTGCCCTCCAGTACCTCTTCAATGAATAGCTCAATAAATAGCCCCTTCAAAAATCCACAGTGCTCAGTTCCAGTTTACATTGGCTCAGCCTCTCCTATTTTGAACATGTTGCTGGATGCCAGGAATGGATGCCTATTCTCTCTGGGTAAAGGAGAGAACAAAGAGCTTCCATCTATGAACAAATAGAACAGTGGCTGATGTAGGTGCCTCCCCCCCCCCATTGATTTGGGGGGTGGGGAATCACTGCTGGAGGACCTGCCAGCATGATTTTGTGGGTTTCTTTCTTTTTCTACTATTTTAGATGTGGCAGTTATTTTCTATGTGGCCACACACCCAAAGAATTGGCTCCTGTGAAACTTTCTAAAAATTCCAAATGTACCCACTAGCCCAAAAAGATTGGTGACCCCATGAAATTCCATTGCAAACCCCATCATTTTATTTGCAGCTTTTTCCATATTCTCACAGGCTGGCATTAGCCTGCTAGAATATCTGCTAAAATGCTCTGTGTCTTTTTTTACTGACTGCGTCCAAAACTCCTGGACATTGGATCATCTGCAGTGGTGCAATGTGTAGCTTTTATCATTTCTACCTGTGTGAAAACTGATGCTGCTGTTTAAGCATAAATGTCATGGTTGTTGTGAAAAAATAAATAAAACAACATTTAAACTGTATTTAAGTGTGTGTGTTTGTGTGGGTATGTGTGTAAGTTTTATTAGTCTTCCTAGGTATATGATATTCTTTAGTGGAACAGCCTGCAACATTCTGAAGGTTGGGGGGGGGGGGGATGCTGTGAACCATGAGCATTAATTGTGGGCCAAATTGTGAACTGAACTGGAATGGAATTAGTTCCTGTTTGAAGGGGGTAAATGAATTGAAACTAATTCCTTTTTGGAGGGGATGAGTGGGAGCTGGGTTCAATCTCTTTTTAAAGCAAACTTTCCAAGCACTGAAGCTTGTCACCTGAACTTGAAATTCTTTCTGTCAAGTCTTTATATTTCCATACTAGGAAAACGGTCACACATGCCCCCAACAAAACCCACACCTGTTATTAATGAAGAACACATTCCAATTTCCCAGAAAGCTTTGACCCATTTCCACATTTTTATAAAAGCTTACGGAGTACTTTAAAACAAAGCAAACCTGTATAAGTTTATATATATATATATATATATATATATATATATATATATATATGCATGCACAAAACACAATGCTTAATGATATAATGAGGCTTCATTATTACACTACTTACTCAGTGTGATTACAGATGCACAAAGATCCTTGTCACTTTGCAAATTTTCATCAAATGACACTTATTGCATTTGTGCTGTTATTTTATATTATTTCTTCTATTGCTTGTTCAGAAACACTTAAACAAAAACACCTCTGCAGTCTTTGGAGAGCATATTGAGCACTACAGATATTGTTGTTGTTGTTTAGTCGTTTAGTCGTGTCTGACTCTTCGTGACCCCATGGACCAGAGCACGCCAGGCACTCCTGTCTTCCACTGCCTCCCGCAGTTTGGTCAAACTCATGTTGGTAGCTTTGATATTACTACAGATATTACCACTTTGTATTTAGAAGAAGAGCTCCTATATCTTTGACAGGCAGAAGTTCAACAGGTGAAATGTACTTCCTTCACTGCATCTCTGTGCAGGTTAAATCATCACCTGCTAAAACCCATCTGTCACATAACTTTAAAACTCAAGACCTGCTGCTATGCAGGTGGGGGCAGAGAAAGACAGACAGATGGAATCCTTACATTGAACTACAATAATGGTAATATAGTAGATTATTACCTTGGTGGACAAAGAATTTGAGTGACACTGGTAGTTCCAGGTTCTTCTTCAAAAGCTGTTATTTTTTCTCATGATGCCCACACATTTCACAACTGTCTTTGCATTCACTGGTTCCCATGGCTTTAAGATGGGATTAAACACCAGAGGAGTGGTCAGTGTGTGAATATTATTAGCTCTTGGGGGAGTATGAGATGTGCTGTTGGTGTCTATGCAATTCCTCCATTGGTCTAATTGGGCACAGAGACAGGTAGACTGGAAGTCAGGTTGCAGGTGAACAAGATGCTTGAAGCCTTGCTTCTAACAGTAGTAGAATGGGTGAAGTGTAGGAGCATCGGAAGCAGGTCCTGGGTTTGGTGAAGCAGGACACAATGAGGTAACAGAACAGTGACTATGAGCACTGGCTGAGGCAATACATTTGCAAGGTCAGCATGTGAGGCCCAATGGGAGCTGACCAGGGTCCTGATTTGCCTTGCCCCACCTTACTCCACCTCAGACTTGGACTAGAAAAGTATCTGATATTCATTACTTCTTTCCCTGCAGGCCCTAGTCCCAGCAGAACAGGGTAGCAAGTTTATATAACATAGCCGAACAGATGTATGTAAAATATTTAACAGACATCAGCAAGAACCCGTGTTTTGTACCCATTATTCTTGTTCCTCCACTTCCATGTTTCAGTCCAAGAATGAAACCATGGCTTTATCCTTCAGCCATGAACTGTGCCATCTCTTTTCTGTTCCAATTCAGCATGACTTTGACTTAAGTAATTTATGCATCTGAGGCTGCGTCCCAAGGTATTTGCTAGCTGTTAATTTTAGTCTGCCTCTCCATTAGCTTTGCAAGTTTCTATAAACATGAAACAAAAAGGAAGAGGAGTGTCAGGGAGGGTCGTTGTTGCTGGGAATGAACATTGAGCTTGCTGCAAATTAATTTTGCAAGCTCCATGGCAGCTTTGTAGAAACACAGGAAGTTCTGACTCTCAAAGAGAAGTCTGGCTCAGTGCTGTGAGTAACGGAGATCAAAGGCAGGTAAAGCAGGGCCTGGCCACCAATTTAGAATTGAAAGATGCACACAAGTGTACATTTGGATGTATATCTGATTTATATCCAAAGCTCCTGACCCTGCAAGATAGATGTTCATGGAAGTCTATTTCCATAAGTGGATTCCAGGGTGGGAAATTGGATGGGGTCAATGGCTGAATCTTGAGCTCCTTGAACTCCCCTGGTCCATTTTGACAGGTGAATGGGGCAACCCACCTGATATCATGGTTGACCTGATGGTTAAAATCTTTATTTGTGTCAGTCACAAGCCATAGCAAAGGAATCAAATACAATAAAATACAGATATAGCTAGATGGTTGGCTATACAAAATGCATTCTGAAAGTTTACAACTATACAAATAAAAGAGTTAATAACTGTCCTTGACCACAAGTAAAACATATAAACGAGTGGGCGTTCTTTACTACGCATTCATCGGGCAATGTGAGTGCAATCTGGCTGCAATATCTTTCACCCCATTGATTGCCAGGGTTGATTCGGCTGATCTGACTGGCTAGGTGGGTGTCCCCTCCCTCCCTCATTGCTTCATGTGCATCCCACCTGAAGCTGTGCGCTCGGTGGAAGAGGACAACCACCCTAGATAGGAGTATCATGGTTTGATTTCACCAGATATGATGTCAATATCAATCAAACCACACAGACAAAAGGCACAGGGGTTTTCTGGCACCACCAATTTGCTGATTGGTGGCCACCTGTAAAACCCCGCTGCCTTAGTTGAGCTGGGTGGCCCAACTCCATTAAGCCAGCTTTGAAGACAGCCACTGCAGTGTTGCTGTCTGATGTGTGAAAGACCCAGCATGAGCAGAGGAGGTTTGATAGTTTGTGACTGGACCCTTAGAGCTACATCAGTGAATAACTGCTCCTCCACTTCAGCTTGGGAGCACCTCTACTATTAGGGTTGAGAGAAGCAGGAGGAGGAGGAGATAATGAACATGGTAGGGCAGTGCCCAATGGTAGGGCAGTGCCCAATTTGTTCTTGGATTCTGGAAGCTTTTGCACTGGAAGCACAGTGCTCAACTAGTTAGTAGAGGTCTTTAAATGTTATTTACCGTAAGTTTTCAGTTATTTCTGCATTCTGCGAATTATTTTTTTTTTAAAGAATACTCGTGAAAATTCTCCAGCATGTTAGCATTAATTTATCTGAACAACCACCTTTGTGTGCAGTTTATCAAACATACAAATAATTGAAAGCACTTTCCCTCTAATATAATACATTTTGTTTGATATTCTTACTAATATATGCATTTATACACACACCATGCCCATTGCTTGGCCGGAGCAGTTACAAAATTCAGGAAATTGTGAATTTCATAGGAAACTGTGTTCCAGTTTGTGTATTGTTTCAGGAAGTCCTAATTTGGTACGAATCCCTTTGAATGCTACCTAATGGAATCTCCCCATCCCCGCCACTGAGCCATGACCCCTCCCCAAGAGGCCACAGTGGGTAATGAAAACTGCAATTCCCTCTCTCAAAATAATTAGTCGTTATTTGAGGAAACCCCACCTCTCAGCTTGTCAGCAAATGACATTTTAATGCCACCAGGAAATTCTAAAAGAGTAAAGAGAGTCATGCAAAGCTACATCAACTGGAAAATACAATGGGAGAATCAGCCTTAGTTTCTATGTGTGAGCCTCTCTCGCACATAAACAACTGACTTTGTTTTCTGATAGCTTTCTTTCAACTTGATAATACAGAAATCCAACATGACTCATATAAAAGCTGTGAAGAGGATTTGGGATTAGTTATCGTTGAGGAAAGAATTGTGTAAAAATTCTGCAGGTGACAAAAGTTACCAGTGAGAGAAGCTTGTGTCTATTATGTCTTCAGAGCACATACGCAGGATCTTATATCCACACCAGTAAATATGTCTCAGAAGAAAGCCACTCTTGTTTACCAAAGAAAAAGCAGGGGGAAAGGAGCCTATATTCTGATGGAGTTTTTCCTTCCTCAAATATTGCAGTAGTCATAATGAGAGCACCTGGAGTGCCTTTGCTCAAATGGAAGAAGTATTTGTTTCAGAAGAAATATAGAGGTAGAAATATAGTTTGGGGTTCAAGTGGAAGTTGTGATGCACAGTGGCTAAAACACAGAAACATTAGAAGCTGCCACGTACTGAATTAGGCTAGCAATGTTCACTATCACCCACGCCAACTAAGCACTTTAGATAGGAGATAAAACCTGGATTGAATCTGGAGCCTTTTGCATGCAATTCAGGTGCTTTGCCACTGAACCACAGCCCTTCTTCACTCCACAGGATAAATGGTGGCGTGAAATGTCTCTAGTTCAAATCTTGCCTCAGGTTTAGGGCTGTGGTTCCAGTAGTAGAGCATCTGCTCTGTACGTGGAATGTCCCAGGTCCAATCCCTGGGATGTCCAAGTAGGGCTGGGAATGACACCTTGTCTGAAACACTTGAGAGCTGCTGTCACTTGGTGTAGATAATTCTGAGCTAGAGGAACCAGTGGCTTGACTCAATATAAGGCACCCTCCTGAGTTGCTATAACATGAATAGACAAGGAGCCTTTAGGCAAGCAAATGTTACTCAGCTTCACCCCTTCTTGCAACATGAGGAATAATGACACATGGGCTGAACTGTAGACAGATGTCAGAAGCAGTGGTGCTGTCAGTTGTGAGAGGAACGTGGAAAAGGTACCCTCTGAAGATCCCTGAACCACCATGGCATCTTCTGTCACTCTGGATACTCTGTATACACCTTTCATTTTCCCATACCTGAAATCAGGGGTGCCAACTTCCCCCCCATAGACATGTCATGTGATGTCACGTGACGTGTCCTGCCTAGTGGGACATGTGCAGAAATAGGGGGGTGGGGTAGGGGGGAAGATATAGAGTGTGGCACTGGCCTCCATGCTCAGTCTCCTTCTCCCCATGGTATGTGCTGGGGGGGAGGGGACACACACAGAGGGTGACCTTCACCCTCACCCCAGCCCCCTTTGGCACCTGGGTGGGGGTTGGGGTGCAGAGAGGGCACCTGGGGTGGCAAGAGATGCTGGCCCTCTCAATATTTGGGAGGGTTTGAGCCCCTTGATTCAAAATATTGAGGTGGCTGGAGTCCCTAGCACCCCCTATACCCAGTTTATGTGACAGCAAGCCCACTGCAATTGGCTGCACTATGGAATTCTCCATTGGAATTTCACTATGGAGTTCTGCTAGGAACTCCATAGAGAAGGCAATGCCTATCACTGTCAAACATATCACTGTCAAACACCTGATTGGCACTTACAGCAAACTCTCTGGGATACAGTGGTACCTCGGTTTACATACACTTCAGGTTACATACGCTTCAGGTTACAGACTCTGCTAACCCATAAATAGTACCTCGGGTTAAGAACTTTGCTTCAGGATGAGAACAGAAATCGTGCTCCAGCGGCGCAGCAGCAGCGGGAGGCCCCATTAGCTAAAGTGGTGCTTCAGGTTAAGAACAGTTTCAGGTTAAGAACAGACCTCCAGAACAAATTAAGTACTTAACCCAGGGGTGTGTGTGTGTGTGTGTGTGTGTGTGTGTGTATGAGACACACCCTATTCTATTGACCGTAATTTGTTTCCACTGATTTTAATACTGCATTTTTAAATTGTTATAACCCACCCTTGTTCCTAATGGTAAAGGGTGGGTAAAACAACAATACAGCTTACATTTGCCCAAAGTGAAATCAGCTGTGCTAAAGGGTCCCCCTGTAGGTGGGCAGAGACCCCTCAGCAGCACTGTCAAGATAATAAAATAAACTATTAAAAGGAATTTGTGCATTGCAAATGTCTCCCATATTTTAGTGAACAGACAAAGACTGGATGGTTTATTTGTTCCCATTGTCAATGCCAATAAAAACCGTGATAAGCTCAATAGAACAGCAATTACTGGGCATAAATTGGAGTGACATTTCCTCAGAAATGTCACAGGGATTTTGAGATGGCAGGGTGAGCACAGAGGCATCACATATACCCTGAAAGTGCCAGAACACTTCTAAGGAGTTGCTGTCATTGACTGTGTCTATGCTGAGAAGACTGAAGCATCTTCCTATGGGCCTTGATATTGCAGATGGTAATGGCTCCTATGGAGATTTGCTGGGATCCAGCTGCATCAGTGATCACAGAACTTCTCAGTGCACCTGAGTCCATGTGTACTTCAGGTAAGTGCAAATCTTGCTTTGTAGTCATTCGTTTATGAATGATAATCTGGAAAGCTGCACCATTTTGAGAACTCGTGTTTTCCTGTACAAAATCAAAATTAGAATGAGTGAGGGCTGATTGTTGAAACGTTTCTTGGAGAATCTTGAAAACTTAGACAAAATCCCAGAGTGAATTTATCAGTTTTGTTTTAAGTAGATGTTAGGTATTGAAAACCACAGTATACTTACCTAGCTCTATCATGCCTGGGTGTGGATTTTGTTCTGTTACATTAAAACACTGCGCCAAAACATAGGTTCAGTGGTACAGCACATGCCTTGCATGCAAAAGCTCCTGGATTCTGTCCCCAAGATCTCCAGGTAGGAATGGAAAGACCTGTGAGAATCACTGGAAGGCTGAATAGAAAAAATAGAGCTATACGGACAATAGTCTGGATCAGTATAAGTGTTCCCTGTGGTTTTACTATAGAGATTCTACCATTCACAAACAAACAAGTGAGCAAACAAGCAATTATGTATTTATAACATCTGACTACACCTCCACTTTCCCCTAAGAAACTTGAAGTGGCCCAACCCTCATTTTATCCTCACAAGTAACCATCTGAGGTAAAGGTAAAGGGACCCCTGGCCGTTAGGTCCAGTCATGACTGATTCTGGGGTTGCAGCGCTCATCTCGCTTTATTGGCTGAGGGAGCCGGCGTCATGTGGCTAGCATGACTAAGCCGCTTCTGGCAAACCAGAGCAGCGCATGGAAACGCCATTTACCTTTCCGCCGGAGTGGTACCTATTTATCTACTTGCACTTTGACGTGCAACTGCTAGGTTGGCAGGAGCAGGGACCGAGCAACAGGAGCTCACCCCATCATGGGGATTTGAACCGCCAACCTTCTGATTGGCAAGCCCTAGGTTCTGTGGTTTAGACCACAGTGCCACCCGCGTCCTAACAATTTGAGGTAGGTTCTGTTAATAGATGATGACTGTCACACAGAGAGTTTCATGAATGAGTTTGGGATTTGAACCCCTGGACAATCATTCCGGCTATGATACAACACATTCTAAATGCAGAAGGGGGAAAGAGGAATTTCCAAAGTCCAAAGAACTTTACAATAATATGAAACTGATTATTCTTTTGGCACAGGGGACATGGTAGCACAGCTATCACTTGGGGCATAGCATCATAGCGCTCTCATTAGGAATGGGCACATTGTATTTGTTTACTTGCATCCTGTCCATCTGTGCTCTTTTTGAATCTTATTCCCCTAAAGTATCCCCCCTCCCTTGATGCTTTTGGCATTGTTTGGTTTGTCGGTGCATGTTCTCATCTCTTTCCTTTCTCCGAGAGTGAACCATTGCCGCTGTGCTGGCACAATGCCTGCCTTTATTATCACTGAAGAATTGTGCACAACTGCAACTCCAGCTTACATAATTATCATGAAATAACCCATGTTATTTTAGCAGCAGCAACATG